GGTGATTCCATTTTAAGGGGTGTACTCACTTCTGGTGCATATTTATGTACATGTACTGCTCTAAGAACGTTATATGTTTAACTTCAGCTGTATCAGATGTTAACGAAGGCGGTTGCTCTGGTTGCGTACATACACCCTTTAAGCAAACAGAAGCTTATCCACAGCGGGATGACAGCATCTCCACGGTGGCGTATACATGCAAAGATATAACAGCCCTGTCTGAGTCACATATTTAAAAACCACCTACATCACCAGCTAATATGCTGACAACTGTCGTATTTGGCTGATGGATACGAGGGAGTTATTAATATGCATCTTCACAAATGATTTGTGCATGTTTGCATCTAATATTTTCCTTATTTTTTGTGAAGGGCCTGGGGAAGTACGGCGTCTTATTCTACAATGCGCTAATCATTGTCATCCCCACTGTCTTGGCAAGTGCATTTACAGGAGATCTACATAAGGTACATGTTGTGTAGCTGCGATCAAGTGTGTTTTTTTTGCCCAAAGCTTTCCCCCCGTCTGACCGCTTTGTGTGTTTTGATCCGCAGGCGGTCTCATTTCAGGACTGGGCAAAAGCCACGTTTGTTGTTTGCTTCCTGATGTCCTGCTTCATGGGGTATGTCACAATAATCCAATCCACGCTGCTCAATTACCGTTAGAAATCAAGTCTGACGTCACTGCCTCGGCCTGCCCAGGGTTTTTTAAAGACACAGTTCTTGTTTTTTTTTTTTTTTTTGCAGGTTTGTGCTGATGTATTCCATCGTCCTGTGCAGCTACTATAACTCAGCACTGACGACTGCTGTAGTGGGAGCGGTAAAGGTAGGAAAACACTCATAGGAATCCTGTTTTTTGTGCTAGAAATCTCATTCACAGTGCATACCTCTGCCAACATGCTCATCGATGTGTTTTCTACATCACACTGCATATTGAAAATGACCTAAACTGTGATGTTAATGCTTCTTTAAAACAATCCCTGAATCTTTTTTTCGTTCCTCGGCCCACGTTGGCTTTTTAACTTTTTATTCACGCTTTGGGATGTGAACAGTCCGACAGCTAACATGCACAACGTTTCCTCCAGAACGTTGCAGTAGCTTTTATTGGCATCTTTGTGGGCGGTGACTACATGTTCTCCTGGACTAATTTCATCGGCCTCAGCATTTGGTAAGACTTTTTACTTTCTACTTTTCTTTTTGTTGTCTTCAAATATTTAATTTGCAGCAAAAGTTAATTATTAAATGTTAAATGACTCCAGAGAGCCTGATGTGACTAAACAATCAAACGCTGTGTTGTGAGCTTAAACGGCATTCCAATCCAATCAACCCAAAAGACTTCCTGATGGTGATAAGATTCGCTATCAACAAGTCAAATATGCCTGCTGGTTTGTTGTGGCAGGCATGTTTAAACAACAGCTTTTGTATTGGTACACACAGGCCTGCCACAGTTATTACATAATCACAGTTATTCGAGCTGATTGCAGTCGTTTTACGTGTTTGTTAGAATAGTTTTCATTCACCTGTATAAAACGAACATAAATGCCTCTTTGAATCACTATTTCCGTATCATCTTCCCGTGTTTGCATCCTCTTCTTCTGTCCTTTAATGGCACAGCCGCTTATCTTGACGAGCTTGTAATTTTCAAAAGATTGCATTTCAGTGCACATATATTGACATTACTTATGGAGTAGAGAGAGTGCCAAGTTACAAAAATAATAAAAGAATTTAAAAAATAAAAGTGAAAATAAAAAAGAATAAATAAATCAATTAAAGAATAAAAAATAAAAGTGAAAATAAAAAGAAGAATAAATAAATCAATAAAACAATAAAAAATAAAAGTGGAAATAAAAAGACTAAATAGATTAGTTTAATATTTTTAAATTTTTTAATGTCTTATTTTAATTTTTTATCATTTTTATTTTTATTATTATATATTATTGTTATTGTTATTTTTTACATTATTTTTCTTTTTTTTTTTGATTTGGCACTAATTTTAATTAATTAATTTTGGTAACTTGGCACTCTCATGACTCCATAATTACTGATGTATTTGCAAAGTCAGACACCACAGCGCCCCTCTGGGCACGTGTTGGTATTACGCCAATTGAAAACGCGATTTATTGGATTTGCAGCAAAAAGGTGGCAGTTAAAGGTGCGAATACCACAAATTTTAAACTGATTAATGTATAAAATGAAAAGAAAAAGGTCATTAATCACAGTATTTGTATGAGAATTAATCACTCTCCAGGTCAGCAGTAACAAACTCAGTAATTTTGTCTTTTGCTTTGCAGTATGTCAGGGGGACTTCTGTACTCGTTTATCACCTTCACCAGCAAATCGTCTGAAAGTAACGCACAGGAGGCTCTAGAGATGAAGATTCACATCACAGAAGACTCAACAAAGAAGTTCTCTGCCAACTAGAAGGACACTATTTCCACCACTTGGTGGCGTAGTTCTGCTTCATATTGGAGCACAAATATGGCTTCTACTTTTATGTGTTTTTACAAGTCAATTAATGTATTTCCCAGTCTATTTATAAGAAGAATAAATTGACAAGAAGTGCACGTCGACTTTGGGGTCAGGTTCTGTGAATGTTTATTGAAGATCAACAAAACAGTGTGGACAGCCTGTCAGAGAAGGTTTAAAATGTGTAATAAAATGTCTACCAAGCAAGCAGGATCACTCTATACACTCAAATATGGAAACTGACTGTTTGTAAGATGTTAGCAGAGGTGGGGGGTAAAACTGAAACTAAAATTAAAAACATCAAAGCTCTCTGTAAATTGTGCACGCTCAAATTCCTAACACTACATGTATATATTAAATGCCATCATTTTCACAAACCACAAAACAGACGAAGGGTTAAAAAAAAAAAAAAAAAAGCTTCCAAATATACTCTAATTGGGTCGATCATTTTGGTTTTTTTGATTATCAGCAACTTGGTTTGCTTTCCAGTTTCACTGCGACTCCATGAGGGTAATTTGTAAATCAGATTCAAACATCACAACTAGAGTTTCTGGAGGAGGTTTAACAACCAGAGGCAGGGCACGTATGAGACGCTTCTTACAGTGTTGAAGGATGTAGTGTTGCTTTAAAATAAAAAACAAAAAAAACCAGCACTACACAAATCATTAAAAAAAACAGGTGCCCTCTTCCTGGACAATAAATCTAATCGTTGGTGCATTGCAAGCTTAATCCAAGACTTAACGGGGAGTAAGTGCTTCAACAAAATGTGTTTTACAATCTTGGGATTTTTTTTTTCTTCCCTTTTATCAAATGATTCCAGCGCTGGATATAGAGCTAAATAGGAGTCAGAAGAGCAATATGGTGAAATAAATAAATCAGAACTTTGAAATGAGATGACGTAGAATTACACGACTACGATGACGCTGATCTGCCGCCTTTTAATATAAAAGGTGGCTGACGTGGATTGTAAAACATCTTTTTTTGGCCTGCAGGTCTATCTAACACACTTGTAACTGGCATTAAAATGGAAATATGGTGTGTTCTGACAAGTACTCTGGAGCTTTACATTGTAAAATATGAATGGACTCGATCCAGAAGACATGATATTGGAAACTGCAGCCCCATACGTGTCGAGTATTGTCAGGCAAGTAGAGTTACTGAGACAAGTGGTGAAACTTTCTGAAAAGCTCGAGCCTGATCAGACCTCTGGATTAGGCTTGCAATGATCAACTCGCACTCAACAATAAAAAAAAAAAATGACCCATGTCATGTGTCAGACTCAACCAGCTCCCCTGACTTCTGTCTCCGCTTATTAAATAGAGCTGTACCAGTGAGGCAACCTTTCTCAGTCCATTTCCACAACCGCCGCTGTCATCGGTGGCAGCGAAATTGTGCTTTATAGCGCCGGAGATGAAACCTGGGATCACGGTGAGAGGCCATCCGACAGTTGGAATGCCGCGTCGCATTTCCTATGTTCGACCACACCCTGTAATCATTCTGTCCATCTGAGCTTAAACCATATATACATCAGTCATACACACTCTCTTATACTCACAATATTCTTACAAAAAAAACTCGTTACCAAAGTGCAAACAAAACAAATTTTAAAAAACATAATAGGTGTTCTTTCTTTTGCCTTTAGAAGACAGAAGGAAGAAAGACATTCTTCATATAGTCAAATCTACAATTATAGCAGCCTAAAGAGGATAAAATGGAAGCTGAATAAGGTGCTTTAGCTTGTGCCTTCCTGCTGCTGTGAGGGGGGGGACATCGATGATTCTGGCCCTAACACTGATCTCCGTCTAATTCAGCTCCTTCTCCAAGTCTGGTTTCACCGCTTTATAGAATAAACTAAACTAATCATTGATCGGCGTGTATGAGCAATTTATAGCGACAGCACATGCTGCAGGAAGGCGGATTGGGGATGGAGGTATGAAGGGCAGGGGGATGTTGGGGGGTTGAGGATCGGGGAAGTGGATGGGTGGGTGTTCAGGCAGACAGGTTGTTGGCCAGCTCGATGAGCGCCAGAGCCCCGTGGAGGCGCTCTCGTTGCTCCTGGAGGCGGCGTTTCGCTGCTCCTCCTCCCTGGGTGCCCTTCTCCTCCTCGGCCATCTCTTCTTCTTCCCCGTTCTCTTCATCGGACTGGAGGAACTCCATGGGATCCTGCTGCTCTTGGTCTTCCGCTCTCGCCTTTCCCTGCGGCTTCACCTTGGTGGTCGTGGGGGCGCGCTGCTCGCGGGTTCGCCAGTACCTGCGAGGACAAAGAGTAAAATGTGAGCAGAAACCGACTTTAAATGTGTGATAGTCTTGCTCCGTCAAGCGCAGAGGTGTCCAATCCTGGTCCTTGAGGGCCACAATCCTGCATGTTTTAGATGTTTCCTTCTTCCAACACACCTGATTCAAAGGATCGTTATCAGGCTTCTGCAGAGCTTGATGATGAGCTGATCATTTGAATCAGGTGTGTTGGAAACATCTAAAACATGCAGGATTGTGGCCCTCGAGGACCAGAATTGGACACCCCTGGTCTAGCTTTTCCACGTGCAGTCCTGTATTAACTTACTTTGCTAGCCACTCCGCCACAGCCTTGTTATCCACAGACTGAGCCTTCCCCTGGCCTTCCTTTGGTTCCTCTCTCTTCAGGCGGGAGAAAGGATGCTTGGGGCAGTGACGGTTGGCGTGTGTGAACCGGTTGCCACATCCTGCAGAGAAAAACACTGTGTGAATAAATGCAGTAAAGCGTTGTGGTTTACCACTGTGATGAAAAGGCTGCAATGTGTCGAGTCAAGTCGGGTCAATTTAATCTGTATAGCGCAGTTAACAACACGTGTACCTTACAAATGATGTCAAAGTAGTAAGAACACAACTGCATTTTTAATCAGTGAAGTATTAATAATAAAATAATGTTATTGATCAGACACGTGCCATGTCAGTTTTCAAGTCGTGCTCTTACAATGTTTGTTTTGTATTTACAGGTACTTTCCAGATGCTTCAGATGTTACCAGTTAAAAACCCCAGTTGATTGAACTACTCTGCCATGTTTCATGTCGCTGGAAAGTACCTAAAAAGTGACTGAAAGTGAAAGTGCCAGAGCTGTTTGCTGTTTGGCATCGCAACCTGTGTTTACAAGCTCGACTCTGTGGTCTTTTCTGAAAACCCACCTTTCTCTGAGCAGACAAAGGGTTTTTCCCCAGTGTGCAGCCGCTGGTGCGTCTTCAGCTGGCCGCTCTGCACAAACGCCTTCCCACAGTTTGGATAGTCGCACAGATAGGGCCTCTCACCTGGAGGTAAAGACCGATACTGTTAGGGCAATAGTAACGTCATCGCTTCACAGTTAGGAAATCATGAGGGCGGACACTAATTACTATTCACTGTTGATTAATATGTTATTTTCTCGATTAATCTACAAGTTGTTTGGTGTCTAAAATGTCAGAAAATGCTGATTTAAATTCAAATATAACAGTTAAGAACCTCAACTTTGACTTCTAAAGTAAATTTAATTGAGCGTAATAAATATTACTGTTTAAAATATTAAGTATCTGATTAAATTAAATAGCAAGGCTCACACCCTGCCTACGGTATTACTCGTTATGGACATTATGGAGCATGCACAGGCCAGTTCATCATCAGTGCACCTGTCCCGGTTCGTCTCTCTCACCTGTGTGCGTCCTCTTGTGGGCCTGGAGAGACTTCTCTCTGGGAAACACTCGGTTGCAGATGTTGCAGCGGATGCGGCTGGATGAAGTCTCCCCCTCACTGATCAGCTCCCGGACCGTGTCCGCCCGAGGACGACCTCTGCGGATGCCATCCTGATGGCAGCAATACACAGGGTTTATGCATTGGCTTACAGCTTGAGTGCATATTTTCCAGAATATAACACACTTTCACTCACAATCTAATGAATTAGCACCTTTTCTAAATACATGTATATATTCTTATTTGTCTTTTTACACTTCTGCACCACTAGAATTGTCTTTTAATTTCGTTCTACCTTGTGTATGATGACAATAAAAAGCCTTCTATTCTATTCTATTAATAAAATCTCATATTTAATAACACTTTAACACAAAGAAACAGTCAGAAGACACTAGTTTTGCCACTTGATGGTACTTTTCGTTACAATGTAGCAACACATCGATCACAGTTTCCTTCCACGACTTCACGTGTTACATTGTAGCAGCGTGCGCACGTTCGTTTCATTATGCCTCATTCACATCCGGGTACATTTTTGGCGCGCGACTGGACGTCATGTATGAGCAGCTGCTCCAGAACCAGGAAGTAAGTGGGGTTTAAAATCCACCATGTCACACCCTAATGCGCGGGCGTTTTTTTAAATGACTCTCTATATCGGCCATATTAACACCGAGTCCACACACATTTTTAATTTTTTTTTACAACTTTAGGTAGTCAAACGTGAAAAGAATTTATATTTATTTGTCTATAAACTGCAACATCCTTCTGTTTGGACTGGGTTTGGGAAAGTTTGTGACTTTAAAAGTTGTCGGTTTCAGCATGCACGCGCTCTACAGTCTCATATTTGTGTTATTACCGGTAGTTACAAGTGTTGTTATAAATGCTGTCTAACTCTAAACTGCTCAGTCTGTGTAACATTAACGCCATGCCAGGTTGTAAAAAAAAAAAAAAAAAAGTTTCCTACCTTCATCTGGTCAGGTGAAGGAGCCGTGTCCGCCTCTCTGGCCGTCTGCGTCCCGGTGGGGGACGCAGCCCCGCTCACCGAGCCCGGGCTCAGGGTCACATTGTGGGCGTTCTCCCCCCATTTCCACGGGTAGACCATGAAGTCGCTGAAGCCGGGGCTGGTCGGCGTCAGAGCCTCGGCTTTCCTCGGTTTGATCGGGGTGGTCTTGATGACGGACACCAGCACTCTTTTGGGAGAGTCGTTGCAGAAAATCACATGCGGGTGTTTGTTCTCAGCCATGATGTCTGGGTGTCAAAATCCCGCACAAGCAGGCAGAAAACTGCAAAACTAATCTGACAGTTCTGAACAAATGAATGAGCAAATGTTATAAATAGTTGGCCTTTTCAATCCGGAGTGAATATGTCCTTCATTTCCGAAGAGGAATAGAAAAAAAAAGCCTCTGCTCCGTTCTTCACCACAAAGTATCCAAAGAAGTCCGATAGGAGGATGGAGCAGAGTTTCCTTCTGGTCGCAGCGGGCCGTCTGAACTGACCTGTGTGCGCCTACAGGAGCGTTGTCCCGCGTTGCAAAATCGCGCCTGAGCAGTTTGCTGACCAATCGGCTGCAGAGATCCGACACCACGTGTCAGAAGCAGCCAATGGGAGCAGGCGCCTCCATCTCCATAAGCCAATGGGGAGACCAGAAAGCGCCCCGTGCGTAAAGATTGGCGGAGACGTTTTTGTCCAATGAGATTTAAACACTTGACGCGCGCTCTCGTAAATTGACATTGAGATTGGCCAATGGGGACGAGCAGAGCGCGCGGAGGAGCCAATGGGAGAGAAGGGCGGTTAATTTTTACAGCGCAGACGAGCAGATGGCTCTTTCCCGCGCTGAGGAATCTGTTTATGTTATTACATTTTTTTTGTGTGTCATTTTAAAGGGAAAGGAAACGGTGGTTCTGAGGCGCCAAAGTTACGTAATCATGTAGGGCGGAAACACTTGGACAAAGGCTGCACTGTGTGAGAGAAATAGAAATAGAAACTTAGCGCTACTGGAAATTTTGTTTGCGTTAAAGTTGTGTATCTGGACCGTGTAGCTTATCCCACAAACTCCCCCTGCAGTAGTAGACATGGTCCGAGTTACATGGTTTCCTTTGTTTGTATGAATAACTGACATCAAGTGTTATTACAACACGAGCCTTTGTGTATGTCTTTATGTCTTTATGTCCCGTTGCCTTCAGTCTGCTTGTGTCTCTCAGAACTCAGTTACCTAAGAAAGGCAACCCAAATATAACCTATTGCACTATGCGGTGTGTTTAAAACATGGTTCCCTGGTCTTGTGTGCCAAAGGCAGACTTGTTTTACAGTCAAAAACCCTCCATCCAGATTATACTATACACACCAATACTCCTTAACTTAAATGCATTCATGCTACCATTTATGATTAATTCATTTTTTGTGGGTTTCTGTATTTAAATGTAGTGCTCAATCACTATTTTATGCAAACAATACGAATTGAAAAAGAAAAATACAGATCTGTGTCAGACTGGGGGGAACAAAAAGTCCGCCCATTTATATTAATTTTTAGAAATGCCATTTTGCTTTTACAGATCATTTCCACTGTGATTGAGCACCCAGGTCTGTGCACTTACATTCATTTCAGCCGAACCTGCCTATAAGACTCCATCCACTCTTCGTAGTATTTCATCACAGGTATTAATACTGACACAGCAGCATACATTAGTGTGGAGTCCATCAACAGCCATGTACAGGTTTACACTACAGACTTGCAGTTTGTACTTTGACCACTAGATGGAGCTAAGTCTCATTGGATAAAATATCCTGACTCATCCTTGTGCTGAGGGTGATGCAGCTTTATCAGGTCTGAGGTAAATTGACATGTATTGGCAGATGTTGTCATCATTGTTATTGTCATCCTGGGCTTCAAGAAACACTAACTGACTTTTTAAAAAAAAAAAACATTTTGTGATATGTTATAGAATAAACAAATAATCGACTAATCAAGGAAATAACCAAATAAAAATAATTGTTAGTTGCGTCCCTTTTCCCAAATCATTTTAAACTGACAGGTCTCGGACACAGTTGGAGGGAATGTCATGACTTTATTAGAACTAATATTTCAATTACTGACATAAAAATGATGTCGTATGAGAAGGGATGCTAGCCTACATAAAAAAAAAATCGAATTGTTGAACCAACTGAAATAAATTAATTTAACTGGTAACACACCATTGATTTAAATTAATCCAGATTAAGTTAACAAGCAACATGAATGGCACTGGTTTAGGTTAGATGTACTTCATTTGATGCTTCTCAATCAAACAGCTTGCATTGCTGCAGCTTCATTTTTAATAAATGTCAACTACAAGTTTCCAGTTTTTCCAACTTCAGTCTTCGCTTTACCCACATGTAAAATATAAAACATGATTTTATCACTGGACTTGCTTTTTTTCTTTTTCTTTAATTAGAGAGTAAAAATGTTCAAGAATAAAGAGTGTAGTTTCAAGTTGGCAGAATCCACAACAGTAAACTGGCATCGCCACAGCAGAGAGATAAATGACATTGATTTGAAACAGTACTTGACTTCAACTACAGCTTAAATACACTTTTTACAGTGTTCACCAAGAAGTCAAGCTAACAAGGTAGCTGGTGGCACACTAATATTGCTTCCTATAAGATGTTTTGTTTGTCATTTTTGTTCAAACTAATAGATAACCCTTCATATGACTCTCATGTTACTACTAAAAAATATGTATATGTCATATCTTTTTAAGAAGTTATAGATGCTCATTATTTTATCATGTCAAAAATATGACACCAACTTAAATTAAGGCTACTTCTCTTGATTTACTCAAACAAGTAAAGCTACATTAACGCTATTTAATGATTAATAACGCCATTACTATGACAATGTACTGGTATATAGCGGCTAGGAGGCTAGTTTACTTTATTAAACTGATGCTTTCATATGTTGAAAATAAAATAAATATTCTCTGAATAACGTTTTACATCGTTAAAGAGAAAAACAAAACAAGGAAATGTCATTTTGGTTTGTTTTCTTATTTATTTATTATTATTATTTCCCATGATGCACTTGACCGAACGACGTTGTTTGACCTGAGTCAGTTACCTGAGGTTTGGTT